GCACAACCTATTTCTCATTTTTACTATATTTTATATCGAATTTCAATTTTAACAAATCAACGTAATAGAATAATTTCTTTCATGAATTATAAGAACATATTTAATAATGAATAAATACATATTTATTTATTTATTTATTTATTTATTTATTTATTATTATTTTTTTTTTTTTTAATAAAATCGACTTTGATCGATGTTGATTTTAACAAGTCAACGTAATAGAATAATTTCTTCCATGAATTATAAATACATATTTATTTATTTCTTTATTTTTTTATTTAATAAAATCGACTTAATAATAATTTCCAAGTCTAATAATAAAAAAAAAAAGAAACTTTTGAATCTTTACGTGTTTTTAGCTCGATTGTATTAATTTATTCCCAATGTAGCGTATACTCTCATCAAATATTAAAATATAAGACGATTAAGTATGCATCGAAAGCTTTCACGATAATGCTCTATTCATCGACCCAGTTTTATGAATTTTTTTAACGTTAATGACGTATCTTTGCGGACGTGGATTAAACATATGACGAAACAAAAAGAAAAAAAAAAAAAGAATAAAAAAAAAAAAAAACAAAAAGAACAGATGAACAAACGAACGAACGATCGATCGATCGAACAAACAAACAAACAAACAAACAAACAAGCAAACAAACAAACAAACGAACAAACAAATCAACAAGCAAACAAACAAGCAAACAATGCAAACAGCTGGAATATTCAGAAAACGTCGACGCCATATGCGAGGGTAATAACAAAATGGAAAAGAGCAATGCTGACCATACGAAAGCTCCGGGCAATTAATTTTTCTCGCGGGACGTGAGTGAAAACGCGCAAGTTCGATCTATCGAACAGTACGAAAATATCGAGGTCGATCGAGAAACCATATCCCAAGCTTTTCGTATACTATTGAAGAAACACGCGTGCGCGCGCTCATGTACATATATACATATATATATATATATATATATATATATATATATATATATATTATATACACGTATATAAAGCAAACTAACATATAGTAGCAGTTTGCACATGTATTTTACTTAACTTTCCTTATACAAGGACGTGCGCGCGTTCTAGCGCATACTCACTTGCTAGGATCATTGATATATTTCGAGGTTTACGACTTGAGCCAAAGTTCGTTTAATATATGAGAAAACTTCGATTGTAAGTTCTCTCTCGGTCGCCATTCACGCGCGTTTTACCTCCTTTCACGAGAGTATACGGCGTCTCGTCCTCTATCGTCTTCCTCGTTCTTACATTTAGTAAGGGTGTTCGCTTTCTTGACTCTGTTTGTCTGTATTGACCTGTCGCAATATTTTTCGCTATTGAAACGTAAACCGACAAGATGGTTGCGTTTCTTCGTCCAATGCAAATTTTCATGTTTACGTTGTTACCGCGCGAGAAAAAAGAAATGTTAAAGAAAAAAGGAAAAAAGAAAGAGAGAAAGGAGGGGGAGGGGGAAGACAGAGATTTGCTCGTTTGAAAAAAAAAGAAAAAGAAAAAAAAAGAAATAAAATGAAAAGCAGATTCGTTAAATAAAATTAAAAAAAAAAAAAAGAAAAAAGAAAAAAAAAGACATTCGATTATGAAAATTATTTTCTTAAGCAATGAACAATTTTTTCCATATTTTTTCTTTCTTTCTTTCTTTCTGTTTTTTCTTTTTTTTTTTTTTTTGTAGTTTTAATCTCCGTCACATTCATATACTCACTTTTGAGAGATCTCTTAGAAATCTCCGATGATTGTTCGTTTACTCTCGGACATAACGTAATAACGTTGGTGAATTCATTATCGCGAACGAAAAAGCATATCAACGTTTAATAGATCCAAATAAAAGAGAAAATGCAACGATGCATGATATCCTTCCACCGATATGATTTTATCGCTATTCGAGTTCGTTCGTTCGCGCATAAATCAAAATGAATTTCGGCGACCGGACGCATGAGTACCTTTAGGTACACCCACCAGGTAGGCGTGTACGTAGATACGTAAATTTCCCATAAAGGTTCGCATTTCCGTGTATTTTCATTCTAAATATGAAATTCGAAGCTTCAACGAATGGATCCCTTCACATGTAGTTTCTCTTAATACGTTTTAATTTTTCCTTAAAAATATAAATTTATATTCATTTTGCAAATATATTGATGTATTAAAAATTAATAATATTCGCGGTTACCGCGTTATATAGATGGTCATTAATAGAAACTAATTTATAATTTTCAATTAATCGCCAAAGAAATTAATTAATAATTTAATGAAGGATTCCCAAACAAACGGGCTTATGAAATCACACCGAAATTATAATGTTTATCCTGACAGAATTTCCATTTGCATAATGCTTTGAAGTCGTTAGGAAAGGTATCGATCGCGTACATTGATGACGTTATTTAAAAAGAAACTTTTAAAGAGTAACGAGTCAACAAAACCATGTAGAAATTTTTTAATTAACGAAGCTTGTCACAAAATATTCTTTATTTACTTGATACCGGACAAATCGATCATTAGCTATTGAAAAAATGCTGGTTATGGTAGATTCCTTTCATCAAGGACGCAATCGATCAAGCGTGATCAACATCGACGGACTACGCGCTTAAGCGAGAGTAAAAAGCGCCGATGACCCGTGAATTAAACCTATCATAGCTTCCTACTTACTTTAAAGAATATTCAAGGGATATTGTAACAACGTAAATCGTTATAATCTCACAATATCAAATAGATATCAAATTATCTTTCAAATTATAAATATCAAATTATTCTTAATGTTTGGATATTCCCCGGTATCGAATAGTCCGATTATATCTCAATATCAAATATCACTCTTCATTATTTATTTATAAAATGTATCTTAACTATATGTGGAAATGTTTTATTTGTTGAAAGAAAAAAAAAAAAAAACAAAACAAAACAAAACAAAAAAAAACAAGAAAAAAAAAGAAAAAGATGGAGAAATAAAAAGGACAAATATCTTCAGATTTCGTATAGCGTAACAATTTTTTTGACGAATTCGAAATCCCAAGAAAATTTATTTAGGTCACTCACAGAAGTTCGGAATTTGTTGTATCTGGAATAACCTCGAGGCATTTAATTTCCAAAGGTACGATGAGAGATAGATATAGAGATATATATATATACACACACACACACACACACATACACACACACATATATAGATAGATAGATAGATAGATAGATAGATAGATAGATAGATAGATAGATAGAAAGAGAGAGAAAGAGAGAAAGAGAGTTTCGGAAAGAGAAAAGGCGAGCAAGGTCGAGAGCGGAAATGCGCACCGGCTGCGACGACATGAGCGTGGCAATCAAGAGGCGCGGCATGTTGATAAATTTTCCCCAAAACGAGCGTTCGTTTGCACGTGCGCTGGATTATATTCTTCTTTTCTTTATTTTCCGTTTTTATTTTTTTTTTTATCTTTTCATTTTTCATTTTTTTCTTCTCTTTTCTTTCTTCTTTTTAATTTTTGTTTTTAATTTTTTATTTTTTTTTTCTTTTTTTTAGGATGCAACCGAAAATGAGACGTAAAGTCTTCCTCGTTGAATTCGATATTTTACGATTTCAGGATCTACGAAATAATATTTCTCATCGTGCGATTTATATAACATTTATAATAAATTTATTTTATGAATTAATACTTACGCGAATACATAGAATACATACTCACACACGAACGTACGCACAAGAAAATGAATAAATAATATGAGCGAATACGTAGCTTTTTGTCGAATGAAAATTTACTAATGAATAATAAATATGAAGAATAATTTAATAAATATTTGGAAAATTCTCGTCTATTGCACTGAAACTCTAATGCTTATTATTTAGTTAACTCAATCGATCGTGTTCATTCAAAAACATTAATTATTATTTTGTATAAATTCATTAATAATCATTTACGATTATTTACCATCCCCTCATTATTCTTATCGTACTCATAGTTTGCGCAAGTTGCTCGACTCTGTATAGAGACGACGGTCAGTCTCTCCTTTCAAACGTTACCTTTTCTATGGTTGCTTTGACTACGAGATACATGGTATGTAACAAACCTGATAGCATTGCGTTGTTCCCTCAAAGAATATACTTTTCGAGGTCGTTTAATGGTGATATCAATTTTACGAGGAAAAATATACTTTTTCCTTTTTACGATTGTAATCTTTGAATCCTACAAAAGAAAGTTATATTTTTCTATTTTATTGTTAACGAAGAAAGAAGGAAAAATTGAGAAAATGAGATAGAGAAAAAGAAAGAGAGAAAGAGAGAAAAAGTGTGAGAGAGAGAGAGAGAGAGAGAGAGAGGGAGAGAGAGAATGAAATAAGAAAATTATATTGCTGACGTAAAATCCATAATTATCGTAATAAAATTTTGTACGTATGTACGTAGGAAATTCCTATGATATTCCTTATCTACGAACTATTCAAGTGACATAAGCCACAGAGACATACTACGAGCGACGTTCTACCGAGTGATATTTCGATAGAAACAAGGAATTCAACATCCGGTATTCAGCTATCACGTTAGGCGTCGCATCGGTGCCACCAATGAGAGAACTCCTTTGGACTTGAGACGCGTGATATCCTGATTACCGACGTTGCGTCGAGCGTGAGAATGTCTAGGGTTGAAATAGTTTGGCATCTTGAGAAATTAGTACGCGGTAACCAATATATCTCTCCATCTAATATGATAATTCAATAGAAATAAAAATCAATTATTTATAATATCTCACGGATTAATCGACAAAGGAGAAATAAAAAAAAGTTTCACAATAATGAAAATTGTATCTAAAGGAACTACAGAGGTTTGAAATTTTTGTAGTAATCAATTTTGCATTTTGTTTTTTTTTTTTTTTTTTATTTTACATATTCCAATATTGGGAACTTAAAAAATATCATTCACGTTTTTACTCGACAATATCGTGAGGAAATGAATTGAAAAAATGTATTGTTAGAATTTTGTAATAACAAATAATTTGATTTTTTTGTTATATAGACGCCATTTTATTTCCATCATATTTTTCAGGTTTAATAATTAATAGATGGAATCCTACGGTGGGGGTGGGGGGGATATATATGCCCTTTTTATTTTTCGTCCATTGGACTGGAATCGGATTTTTAAAAAACCAGACGCCGATATTATTGACCTGGAAATGATTTACACAGGATTTTATTATTTTTTTAATGATATTAATTGATACCTCTAAAAAGAAAAAAGAAAAAAGAAAAAAAGGTTTCATATTTATTCGAAGTCTTGTTATAAATAAATAAATCCGAGCTAATTTTTTCAATTTCAAATCTCTCTTATTCCCTTGATTCTTTCTTTTCAACCCTTATTTTAAATATAGGATGAAATATTTGTAATCTTGTAAAGTAATTTTCTAAAAGTCACTCTTGAAAAAGTAATTTTCAAAAAGTTCACTCTTGAAAGTAGAATTTACATAGAGACAATGTTCGAAGTATTATATTATAACTTTCGAATCATAATTCGGAATCAATTAATCCATTTTCGAATTGATTCTTCTTTTTCAAATCCTTGGAAACAACTTAAACAAGACTATTTATAAATATTATTAATTTTTTATTTTTAAACTTTATTTTATTTCAAACTCTTAAGAAGAAAAAAAAAATGAAAAGAACTGATTTATTAATTCTTCCAAAATCTCTCAATAATTCGAAGAAGATTTCGTTATAATATTTTGTTTTGTTTTACGATAAAAGATCAATACTTTTCTGTTTTAACGATAATATTTTCTTGCGACACTGTATCAAACGTGAGAAAAAAAAAAGAAGAGAAACAGAACAAATAAAAAAAAAAAAAAAAGAAAATTGCAAAACTGTAAATGGAATATGACATCGAAACGATTATTATTGCACAATGATGCAAACTGATTTTGAGAACTGACAATAAAAGTCAATATCATTATCGACAGCTAGTTACGTCAATGTCGACTATAGTCGATACTCTATAATATACAGAGTAGTACTCGTACAGGTTTCCGAGGTTGTCAAAGATTGATGTTAGGAATGAGAAAAGTTTTAAAGAAGAAAATATACGAATTTGTCAAAGATATCAACTATAAACTTGAAAAATCATAGAAAAGATATGAACGTCACGGTGCCTGTTGATCTCGAACGTAAATAATATAAGTAAGTATTTAGTTGTCAAGCAAGAATTTATAAGAAAATACTTTCACTACGTTCGGGACGTTAGAACAAGAAGTAGTTTTCGCACTCTAGTTCATGTGCAAAACGTAAATCGCAAAAGAGTTGGTTCAGCCAACTTTCTTTAGCCATTGTCCCGAGCCCTCTAGTGCTCGACATCGGTCGGGTTCCTTTGTTCCCAGTAATTAACAAACTTCCTTCAACGTTCGGAAATATGCTCGCTAATGTAGAGAAAGGTCCCACTTACTCTCTTCTCGCCCTCTCCCTCTTTCTCCCTCTGCCTAATATTATTAATATCTTTCCTCTATTTTGAATAACGCAAAAAATTTACATCGAAAATTACGATTTTATGATTGATCGTCTGTCTCGCGTTACGTTCGAATACTAAACTATATAATAATGATAAGATGATTAATTAAACATCTTCAATCGTTCATTTCACTTTTTCTTATTTATTTCATAAGATTATTATTAAAAGATTCAAATTCTTTGATAATGTTAATCGATGAACCAAAGGTGAAATATAAAAGAATGATCGAGTGCCTCTTATCGAGAGACCTAAAACTCAAGTAGAAGAGAGAAAAAACGAGTAGATATAATACAAAGAAATCCATTTCTCATGATATCTTCCTTACTGTTTCTTAGCCAAGAAATTTAAAAGAAAGTTCAGACGAACGGGGTTTGCTGAGAGACAGTTGTCTCCGATGATTGAGTCGTCTCTCTATCTCGAAACGTCACTATTCCAGTTATAAATTTCATAATCTCTTCAATCATACTCGGAGCTAACTGATCGATTGGTTCTGATTGTAAGAGTAAATTAATAATAGGAGAATGAAAGAGAGAATGAGCCTTGTAAAGAATTAAACAAGAAATTCTTTTTCTGCTTCATTTTTTTTTTCATTTTCTTCTTCTTCATTTGTTTTTTCTTTTTTTTATTTTCTTATTAAAAGGAAAAAAAAATTAACATGACGAACTAGATCAATTTCTTTTTGAAAAAATGTCATTGCTTTTTTTCATTTATTTATTCATTCTTTTTTTTTTTTTTTTTTTTTTTAATTTGATCCTCCTCCTCCTCCTCCTCCTCCGTAATATTACGCGTATATTCAATTTTGTATCAACAATGACGTGGCCATTAGCGCATGTAACAACTATATTCAAATATACCGCCCGTTGAAACCGATGAGTATTATCCCCCGAAAACAGACTGATTGAAATACCTGAAATGAAATGTTTGAGCGTATAAAAGCTCGCTACGTTTCATGCATTTCGAAAATTCACGTTAATAACAGCAATGACGGGGTTAGAGTAAAAGCATGGGTAACGATTTTGAAATGCTGATGTTTCGTCGATATTCAAATCCTTTTGTCCTCTTACAATAACTCAATAATTTTTTTTATTTTCTTTTTCTTTTTTTTCCTTTTTGTTTACAAAATTTATACGTCGAAAAATTATTAAATTTACAAATATTCCCCGTGAAAATATTTTCTCATTACGAAAGAAACGTGGCGCCGATCGATCATGATTGGAAATCGATCGTAATTGCGTTACGTCGTGTGCCAAAAAAATAATTTATGTTTACACGGATACCCATGTCCTAGTAGTTATCATACTACTAAATTCAAAAAAGAATAGCACTCGTAAAATGACTTGTTGAAGCACGATCGATCATACTACACATATTCGTTTTGATTATATATATATAAACTACGTTTTGTTTACGAAATAGATTTATAACGACAAAGTTTATTTTTTTGAAAAGTTAAACTCGTTATAAGATGATTAATCGTATAACACGACGATTACAATAACTAATATTAATAAATACATATTCGTATTTAAGTATATAATATATGTATTTACAAGTAAGTTAACTGAGAATTCTGTAATACGTTATACGATAGCAAATGTTTTGATATTGAGTAGAATATATCGAGTGTGATGTGATTTCAAAGGATTGCTATCCAGTGCGTTATTGTATATTGTGACGAGTTATAAATCGATTCATGCATATCGAGTGATACGTCGAATGATGGATATCGAACGACCTATGCACAATTCCCAAACTAAAAAAAAAAGAAAAAAAAAAAGAAAAAAAAAAAGAAAAAAAAATAGAAAGCTCGTTTTGTTAGTTAGAAAAGTTTATTTCGATTTGGTAACCTCGAGGATGTTTTGATCGAAAACTTTTTAAAAATATTTCCACAGATTTATTTCAAAAATAAAAAATAACAATAAATAAATATTCTCTTCCGTTAACAGTCAAAATAAAAAAAAAAAAACATGATAATAATAAATTCGAATAATTTTGTTAAGAAATACGAATGGAAAAGTATTTATATAAATTTTCTTTAAAAGCATTTTGATATACAAGGGCTATACAAATATATATATATATATATATATATACATACATACATTCACACATACACATAAAATAGATACATAATCTTAATAATAATTTATAATTTTGCAGATAAGTTTACCGTGTTCGAATAATGGAACAATATCAATACGTTGAACGAGCTCCGTTGTAATAATTAACGATTCAATAGGTATACGTAAATATTGACACTAAAGCTGAACAACGACTGGTATCGGTAGCAAAATTGATTAGATTAATTTCGTTGATAGCGTTTGAGTTCGATTAACAATTATTTCATTCGAGTCTGACATAATTCTCCAGGCAAGATCAAAATTAGAAATACGATTCGATGATTACATTTTATTAATCAAAAACGAATACTTCGTATTTAACAAAAAACAAAAAAAAAAGGAGAAAACAACAAAAAAAAAACAAAAATAGAGAGAAGAAAATAAGACAAAGAAAAAATAACAAAATTTGTCAAGTGAGCAAAAAGGAATACGATTAAATGAATTAAAAAAATTATGATTAAATAAGAATGTAATACATAAAATTTCTCGAAAACATCTGAATAAGTATTGAAAAAGATTTAAATGTACCGTTCATACTTCGTCAAAATCTTTTCGCTTAAGGTAAGTTCAATGCATTAAATACGACACGTAAAAAAAAGCAAAGTGCAAGTTATACATTTTCCTTTCGCCTCGAAACTACCCGAAGGAATAATGAAATTCTCCTCACGTTAATGGCCAGGTGGTTATTCGATTTCTCTTAGAAAAGGATCCAGATAATTCTATTCCCTTATCGCGCACGTATGGACGACTTTGTCGAAGGACGTTCGATAAATCGATATGAACTAAGAAAACGAGAATGAATCGATATCGAATAAAATTTTACGAACTAAAAAAAAAATAATGAAAAATAAAATAAAATAATAAAAAAAACAAAAAAATATATAAATAAATAAAAAGATATAAGAAATGACTATCATTCTTATTACAAAAGTACTCTCTCTCTCTCTCTCTTTATATATATATATATATATATATATATATATATATATATATATACCTTCGAAACGAAAAGAAAAGAAAACAAGAATAAAAAACAGAACTTTCGTCAAATAATTTAAAAAGTAACTCCATTTTGATAATACGTATCATAACTATCCATGAAGCTAGATAAATTTAGTTGAGAGGGGGAATGGTGGGAGTGATAAGGGGTGGTGGAGAAGTATTATTCACTTGTTTGTAGTCTATCACTAGTTGAGTAACGATAATCCCATTAACACGAGTTTGCTTCGAAACTTTCTAAACGCAATCTTCATTTGGGCAAGTAGAGAAGATGGTTCTCATAAAGACTTCTCTCTTTATCACTAATGAGAATCACCTTGTCATAAATACGTAACATATTACCATACCCATGTACCCAGCCTCGACAATCTTAAAAATGTTTTCTAAAAATGCAAGCGGGAAATGTTTAAAACCATGAAATATAATTCGTCATCGAACGAAATATTTATGAACAAAACGAATATAAATATATTCGATTATAAATCACGATCATCGCGATCGTGTTATACGGGGAGAAAAAAAAAAAAAAAAAAAAAGGAGAAAAAAATAATAA